AAAAAAAAAAAAAAAAAAAAAAAAAAATTAAATTAAACGAGGCAAAAAGTTGCCCCGCGCCGGCCCAGTTGACATCTCTACCAAACCCATCCATTACTCGCTGGCGACCACCACCTGCCCAAATGACGCTACAAACACAACCACAGCCACCACCTCAAACCGCCAACTATGGTCTCAATAAAAACTAAATATTCAAAATCAAAACCAAAATCAAACTACAAAAATCCATTTGATTGAGCCAGCGGAACCAAGGTTTTCAAACAAAAAACTTAGCCATATGATGGACCCTCCTGGTCGAGCTCGAGCTCTAATGCCTTCAATCTCCACACTGTTGCGGAAGCTCTCTCAAAAGGATCTTCAAATAGTGATTTTTCAGGCTCAGTCCAACGTACATTTCTCTACCAACAACCAATCCAATCGGCTCCAAACCACAACCAATTGATTCACCTTGGTTGCTATTCAATCTTACACACATAGGATAAGAAAGGATGATGATTTATCGCCACAAATGTTAAGAGAAGACACCACAAAGGTATACTATGAAAGAATCACCAATTGTACACGTTATACAAGCGTTCTGGACACTTCTGGACACCTTTTTCTCACACAAAAAGGGGGCAGCCGGGATTCACTAGTTCTTCTCTCAAAACCACACAAAACATCATATGAAAGTGGCTAGAGTTATAACCAAATATATACTCTAGGGTTAGGCTTTAAGTTGGGCCAATAAAGGGGTAAACGGGCCAAGATTCAAGCCATCCATAAGGAATACAATTGGGTCGGGTGTAGCTCATGGACTTGGTTGTTGGACTTATTTCATTCATCGGCCTATGCCTATGAAATAATATTAACCCACGTTAACATCATAGCCCGAAATTTATTGGGTATCAAAAAACCCAACAAATCTCCACCTTGATGCCCAATAAATATGCAAGCAATCAAAACACACAGTTAACACTTGCATAATCAAGGTAGCCAATAAAATTGGATCACAGAACTTACCTCGTGTTTCAAACTTGAAACACATACCATACCTGCTCCATGTACTCACTGGGGCTAAGGTCAAAAACACCAAAGTAGAAGCAAATATTTAACAGTAAACAATCAAGAGCAAATACACATGCGATAACGATATACTATAGGATAACACACATTGATCTTTTCAGAAACACGTTCACATAGAACCATAGATTAACACCAAGTCAATCAAACCACGATCAACCACATATGCAACACATGCATAAATGACCCTAAGAAAAGATCTCACTACACTTATCCTATCCCATTCCGTGTTACTCACACCTCGAGAACACATATTTCCTCTCATCGCCCACAATGCTCACTAAACCAATCATTTAACTCATGTCTAACTGGTAAATCACAATAGATCCTAAACTCTCGGGATAATCCTCTATCACCACATCACTTCTCCCAACCTACGTGGATAATGGGACTCCACCTTACAGAAGTGATAGAAGTGTCTCTCTTACACTCCACCTGTACAGGGTCTCTTTCATAGATAAAGGATTCTACACATTTGATCACATTTCCACTCGGGATCTAAATATCACACTCCACATCCCCCGGTACAAATCACCATGTACCCCTAGGCATCTATACTCCACCTTATCAAAAGACATCCAACTCACTGCTAATGTATCTCAAACTCACTATGGTAAATCAACACCTTTCGGTGACCACAAAAGTTAATCCACTCACCAATGCTCCCAAAAATTCACAAAGAAAATAGTGAAGGTGGCACTCTCAAAGAGAATCGAAGAAAGAGTCGGTTACTTCACTACACTCACAAAGGAGGCTCACAAAGATAAAGAAAGTAACTTTAACATGGCTGCCTCACATAATCTCACAAACTACACAGGCTCACAAAGATAAAGGAGAGAAAAGGCTGCCCAACTTTCTTCTCACTACCACACTCTCACACCATTCACAGAGCAAATAGAGTACGCCACAAAACTTAACCCACTATACATGAAAACATATTACACAAAGTAATAAGTCACTCTAATTCATGCAATTACACACATCAAACATATTGAAAGTGTAAAATCAACACTGCAACAGAATTAAGTGACCACATATATGTAGAAAGGATTACACACAGATGCAATGCAGTAATCATGTTTATTCTCTCAATAAACATCACTAGGATCACTACTTGACCATAAAGTCACATTCACCTTTTCTCTATCCTCATCTTTCCTTTTATTATCATCCTAAGACAATCTCTTT